CCCAGGTTCGGTGCTTGATGCGGGGGGGATGGATAGGAGGTTGACTTCTGATGAGCGGTGGCTCCCGAAGGGGTGTGGTGGTGGATCAGGTCTGTGAGGAGTGGGGGTAGTGTAGAAGTACACCATGTACCTCTGAACTGTAGTGGAGTAGAGAGTACACCATGTACCTCTGAACTGTAGTGCAGTAGAAGTACACCATGTACCTCTGAACTGTAGTGGAGTAGAGGTACACCATGTACCTCTGAACTGCAGTGCAGTAGAAGTACACCATGTACCTCTGAACTGTAGTGGAGTAGAGGTACACCATGTACCTCTGAACTGTAGTGCAGTAGAAGTACACCATGTACCTCTGAACTGTAGAGGAGTAGAAGTACACCATGTACCTCTGAACTGTAGTGCAGTAGAAGTACACCATGTACCTCTGAACTGTAGTGGAGTAGAGGTACACCATGTACCTCTGAACTGCAGTGCAGTAGAAGTACACCATGTACCTCTGAACTGTAGAGGAGTAGAAGTACACCATGTACCTCTGAACTGTAGTGGAGTAGAAGTACACCATGTACCTCTGAACTGTAGTGGAGTAGAGGTACACCATGTACCTCTGAACTGTAGTGCAGTAGAAGTACACCATGTACCTCTGAACTGTAGAGGAGTAGAAGTACACCATGTACCTCTGAACTGTAGTGCAGTAGAAGTACACCATGTACCTCTGAACTATAGTGCAGTAGAAGTACACCATGTACCTCTGAACTGTAGTGGAGTAGAAGTACACCATGTACATCTGAACTTTAGTGGAGTAGAAGTACACCATGTACCTCTGAACTGTAGTGGAGTAGAAGTACACCATGTACCTCTGAACTGTAGAGGAGTAGAAGTACACCATGTACCTCTGAACTGTAGAGGAGTAGAAGTACACCATGTACCTCTGAACTGTAGTGGAGTAGAAGTACACCATGTACCTCTGAACTGTAGAGGAGTAGAAGTACACCATGTACCTCTGAACTGTAGTGCAGTAGAAGTACACCATGTACCTCTGAACTGTAGAGGAGTAGAAGTACACCATGTACCTAGTCCATGCATTTGTTACTTCAAGGCTGGATTATTGTAACTCTTTATTATCAGGGTGTACCAAGAAGTCAGTGAAGTCTCTTCAGCTGATTCAAAATGCTGCAGCTCGTGTACTAACCAGAGTTAGGAAAAGGGACCACATTACTCCTGCTCTGGCTGCCTTACACTGGCTCCCTAGAGAACACAGGATAGCATTTAAAATTCTTCTTCTCGCCTACAAAGCCCTTAATGGGCAGGTGCCATCTTACCTTAAAGAACTCATTATACCCTACTGTCCTACTCGGGCATTGCGTTCCTAGAATGCAGGGTTGTTGGTTGTTCCTAGAGTCTCTAAAAGCACAATGGGAGCCAGAGCCTTTTCTTATCAAGCTCCACTTTTGTGGAATCAGCTTCCAGTTTGTGTTCGGGCGGCAGGCAGCCTATCCGTTTTTAAGAGTACGCTTAAGACCTTCCTTTTTGATAAAGCTTATAGTTAGGGCTGATTAGATTCAGCCCCTAGTTTAGCTGCTATAGGCTTAGACTGTCGGGGGACACCTGACTTCTTCCTTCTCTCTGTCTGTACCTGTGTACTCTCATGCTCCCAATAACCCAGCTTCCTCACATCTCTCTTTGGTGTCTATCTACCTATCTATCCTGAGTCATGGTTGATCCTGCTGCTGTGGTCCTGGATCCTGAGTCCTGGATGGATATCCTCGTGGATTCATCTTCTTATTATAGACACATGCATTTCCAAACATTTGGTCTACCTATGTTGTAAATGTATTATCTCTTCGATTTACACACAGCATCTATTGCACGTCTGTCCGTCCTGGGAGAGGGATCCCTCCTCTGTTGCTCTCCCTGAGGTTTCTCCCATGTTCCCTTTAAACTGTGGGGTTTCTCTGGAAGTGTTTCCTTGTACGATGTGAGGGTCTAAAGACAGAGGGTCTAAGGACAGAGGGTCTAAGGACAGAGGGTCTAAGGACAGAGGGGGTCGTATTGTCACTGATATTCTGTACAAACTGTGAAGTCCACTGAGACTAATGTAACATTTGTGATATTGGCTCTGTGCACAAGATGGCGTCTATCAACTTCCGGCGGGTGGGTGTGGGGGCGAGTACTTCCAGTTTGAGTACAGAGTTTTGACAGTTTGACAGACACACCAAGAGCAAGAATGAGCGGATTTCGGGGTAAAGAAAAGCGATTGGCCTTCCAGCGGGTAAGAAAGTCGGCACTACTTTGCCACTGTGTACGAATTCGGCCCGTTATAATCGGGAAATAAGTTTCCATGCATTTCCCATTGATGCTGAGGTAAAGGCTCAGTGGCTGATCAAGGTCCGTAGGGACAATTTCAGCCCCACAAAAAATACCCGTGTGTGCAGTAGGCATTTTCGACCAGGAGACTTATTGGTCACAGCTGGAGGACTGCACAGAGTACAGAAAGGAGCTACACCTGTTCTCTTTGCATGGAATAATTACGAGCTACCTACACCAAGGCGAAATGTTTGGGAGCGTCAGCCGAGGGCAGAGAGCTCCACCCCGGACTTGACAGCTGAGTACGAGGTGGAAACAGTTGCGCTGCCTGATCATGAGTACTGTTTAAATCCAGCGACGGCAGTGATGGCAAATCAGGTGGCCGACGAGAACGAAGCCTTGAAAATGCAGGTTAGGGAGCTCCAACACCAGCTGGAAGTGTTACAACTGCGATCTCGTTTCGGGATACAACGCCTGGCAGGGTCGGACGAGGACATTCGTTTCTACACCAGGTTTGTTTATAAGGCTATCAGGATGTTGTTATGGCCACTAGTTTGAAAAACACCTTTCATTTGGGGAAGCTAATTTAAGAAACAAAACAATGTCTAACATGGACAATATGACATTCTTAGATTTGCCACATACAAGCATTTCCTTGCCTTTTGGAAATTGGTGGAGCCAGCAGCCAACACCAAGATGGTGCGGATCACCAACGCCAAGGCATCCTCTGCCAGCAGCTCGGATTCCTCTCAACCAACAACAACGGTATGCAGCATACAAGCATGGATGTATATTAATAATTATGCACGCTGCGCACTATACCACCGTTTAACAAGTGCATCACATCACTCACACAACACACACACACACACACACACACACACACACACACACACACACACACACACGGAAAATGTGTTACAACTGTACCCGGTCTCCCTATAACAGTATCTACAGTATGCCTAACACTTATTTGTTTTCACAGAAACTTCCACCTGCTGCTGTTCCTCATGCACCTGTCAGTGGGCCTACATCTGAGGGATCTAGCAGAACGGTTTGGCATTCACCGCACCACAGTCAGCAGAATTATTTCCACCTGGACACACTTCCTGTACCAACTGCTTGGAAGCCAACGTCTGTGGATCCCACGCGAAGTTGTCAGAGCTCACCTTCCACCAGAGTTTTCAGCTTTCCCTGACACACAAGTGGTGCTTGACTGCACTGAAGTATTCTGCCAGACTCCATCATCTCTCCTGCTGCAGAGTGAGGTGTTTTCAACATACAAGTCGCATGCTACATTCAAGGCCATGATCGGCATGGCACCACATGGTGCCATTACATTTGTGTCTGGCCTGTATGCAGGATCTATGAATGACCGGGAGATTTTCAAGCTGTCTGGCATCGTGAGCCTGCTCACACCAGACATGGCAATAATGGTCGACAAAGGGTTCCTTGTGGACAATCTGGTTGAGTGCAAAGTTTACCGGCCTGCCTTTCTGTCAAAAAAACCCCCAAATGAGCAGGGAGGATGTCAGGCAGACTCAATCCATTGCACGTCTGAGGGTCCATGTGGAGAGGTGCATCAGAAGGGTCAAAGAGAACAAACTCTTTGACAAAGCCATACCACTGTCTGTGTGTGGAAGCATTGAGGAGCTTTTCAATGTGGCTTGCTTCCTGGTCAACTACCAGAACGGACCACTGGTGAAAGCATGGGCAAGCCTGGGCAGCAATGATTAAAAGATTTCTTGCTCCCAAACCAATTGTGTATTTCATTGTGGTCGTTACAAAAAGCAGTCATACCATACTATGTTTAGGTACTAATGAATTATAACCTCAAAACAAATGCACACAAAAATAACATAGGACAATACATAATATAATAAATCCACAATATGATAACATTTTACAGATTCATTTAATACACTTTTACAAAACATAGGTTGATGTTATATCGGGGGGAAAAAATACATATTTAAACATTTCAATTAGTCTCTGCATATTTAAGTAATGCTAGTTTATGTAACAGATGAACAGATCAATGCAAGATAAGTTAGTTAGCATCCACAACTTTTGTTAATGAATAACGTCATATGACATTAAATGTCTGCCAATAAACACCCCTTTCTTCCTCACATAGGTCCTTTGACTAAAGGATCTTTTTGACTTATAGAACACACTTGGTTCTGGTTTTAGCAATTGAAAGAACTATATACAGGAACATATTCATGTTAGATCAGTAATGTAGTGTGATGTAGTGTGGTACACTAATGTAGTGTAGTGCATATCAGTCCATGTAAAAATAAAAAGAATCTCCCTTCTCTCTAATGGTTGTAGCCACCTCGCAGTCTCTGCAGATACGCTGAGGATATCCTCCTCTGCAAAAACGACGAAATCGCACCACTCCATCCCTGTGAGTAGGAGCTGGCCTTGCACCTGCCAATAGTAGCTATGAGACTGCTTCAGTTTTAATGTGCCACTTTGTATTTTTAAGTAGCTACAGTCCACATAACTTTTTGCATTTGGGCATTTTATTTCAACAAGTCCAAAAGGTGGGCTCTCAGTTGGGTCAAACACCAGACCGTCAGGAGATGACCCTAACCAGGGGGCATCTGGGTGAATGACAAACCCACACGGCCAGTAATTGGTGTTTTTAATCCGGCAGTATTCCTGGATGGCAACCGGTTCCAGTGCCAGTCCCCTCTTCATTGATGCCGTTTGCGCCACTCCCTTCCGAATCCGTTGTGCCAAGTTTTCAGCTGAACTCTGACCTCGAACATGGCATACTTCCCTGAAACGGGAAGAAGTTATTCTTGGCCTCCTAACACGGTGCCATTCCACACTGTCGCTCTGCTCCCTTGTGGCCACCTCGATTTTCCTTGCCATGAGCAATGTTGTCGCAAGTGACAGTAGATGGAGGTGCTGTTGGTGACTGCACACAAACTCACAGGTGGTAGGCTCCAGCCTATAGCCATCCACAGGTAGAGGTGGTGGTGGAGGGGCATCTGGGTGACGCACTATAACCCGGCTAAGAGGTAGTGGATGCTGGTATGAGATAGGGCTACCTTCCTGAACTTTTCCAAAGGTGGAGTTAACCAGTGGCACGTCCACACTTATAGCCATGGTGGTGATCAGTGGTGCGATGTCTGCTGAGAAGTCCTTGTATACCTCGCTGACTTTGAGGACATCTGGGTCTGGCAGCTCCCCCCGCACGGCCTTGTAACGTGTACTCCTTTGAACATGTTTATATAATAATTAGGACTTTAAGAACAATTTTACACTCAGACAACAATCACAAAGTTGTTGCAGGCTACATACAATTACTTAGGACAATAGATATTACCTTACACCGTCAGTAACTGTAAACTGCTTTGGCTTAGTGGAAATGAACACCATGTCACTCACTCTGCCTGGTTTCACACCCTATTAATTACACAAAAGAATTGTCAAATTAATTGAAATGGTCATTGATGCAACATACTAGATCAGCTCTTGGCACAAAGGAAATACTCATTAAACCGTGGATTGGTTGTGAACACATACTGTACTTACCATGGTTCTTGGCTTGTGCCATCGCTGCTCTGTTTCAGTGCAGCTGAGGACCCTGGAAACTGACCCAGTCCGGCCACATGAAAGGTCAAATGTTAGAAATCCGCTGTTTATTATTTAAAGTTTGACGTCCGATTCGCTCTTTTTTTCCTCTCTCTACACAGCTCCAGTTTGGGCATTGGCCTGTCATCAGATTGAATTTTTAGTTGCTGCTGTAGCGGAAGTTTAGTAAAATTATTTTTGATGAAACCCTCCATAATTGCACTTGCTTCAGTTGCTTGCTACTTTATAAGGGCGGTGATGACAGTTACAGTACGAACTGAAGTTGAGGCAAGGGAAGCCAGCCGCTTCTGGATTGGCCTTAGCATGGCCCTGACCAATCACAGGTTGGCAGGGGCATGACGTGAGCCTCATCTGATTGGTCAATCCCTCAATTTTTTCAAGGTAAGCCAATTTCGGCTAGCCTCCTCTCGCAACAGAGTGCAATCTACTGTTTCACCATAACATCTAGAGGGGCGCTGTTTCACTCTTTTTAAAATACTCAATGAGAATGGGGGAGAGACGGGCCGGCAGCAACACACAGCACAGAATAATTACCAAAACTAAACGAAGTGTTTTTATTCATGTATTAAAATTATAATTACAATTAAAAAAAACAGGGGAAGCCTGGCTTCCCTTGGCCTCCAGGAGAAAACGCCACTGAGTTCAAGGGATAATTCTCACCCACCTCTTGCTCTTGCCCTGCACATGTGCCAGTTGAGCTGGTTCTTCCACCAGCTCAACTCTCTGTCCCTCATCATGAACGCAGGAGGCTGGCTGTATATCTGAACTCGCGCCCTCATCATTCTCTTCATCATCTTGCACTTGTTCTAAGCTGCTGCTGATAGTGCTTGTAGCAGCGCTGCTGCCAAAAAGGTCTGTCAATTTGCGACATTTATATGCTTCACCTGCGAGTGACTTCACCTTTTTTTCTCTTGCCTTCTCGGCCCCACCTTTTTCTTTTCGTTTTCTTAGATTTTTATCCATGTTTTTTCATTCTCCCTGTCTGCCGCCGCGGCGTCTAATCCCTTCTCTTCGTGTGGCCGGTCTTTTTTCTTCTTCGTGTGTGATTATTTGACAGATAAGAATCACACAACTGCATTAGCGGCCGCTGTCGCCCTCTGTCGGCCGTCAGCGCAACTTAAATAATGACGTTAAACCATTTTATTTTAAAGGGCCGGCCGGCCGTCAACGGCCCTTGACGACCGGCCGTTCTGTGGTTCTCCAGATTCTACAGATGGCCAGTCCGCCCCTGGCTGAGGACAGGGGGTACAGCAGCCAGGTTGAGTGTGGAGTAGTGTGCGGTCTGGAACAGCAGTGCAACATTGTGGTTGCAGAGTGCTGTTCCAGCTACACAGGAACACTTTGCCACTGCAATCTCCACGGGTGAGCAGTTCTCAAAGACAATCTACACATTAAAACAAAATGTCAGTCATTTTACATTTAGAACACCGCTTCAATACAACACAGAAAAATGAGAAAGCTGAGAGCAGGCTGATCAGGCAAGTAGTAGGTGTGGGAAAAGACTAAACCATGTCAGGTTATCTGTCACAAACGAGCTGAGGACCAAAATGCAGAACACGGGGAAACCAGGGATAGTCAGTAACCAGCTTT